ATAGAATAGAATAGAATAGAATAGAATAGAATAGAATAGAATAGAATAGAATAGAATAGAATAGAATAGAATAGAATAGAAATTGGAATGGAATAGAATATAGGATAATACAGGAATAGGATAGAATAGAATAGAATAGAATAGAATATAGGATAATACAGGAATAGAATAGAATAGAATAGAATAGAATAGAATAGAATAGAATAGAATAGAATAGAATAGAATATAGGATAATACAGGAATAGAATAGAATAGAATAAGGAATAGAATAGAATAGAATAGAATAGAATAGAATAGAATAGAATTCGCATCCAGGCTTTGGGCACCTCAATCAATCAATCAATCAATCAGAATAGAGCTGGAAGGGACCTTGGAGATCATCTAGTCCAGCCCCCTGCTCAAGCTATATATAGTATATACCATCTCAGAAAGTGACTGTCCAGACTCTTCTTAAAAACCTCCAGTGATGAAGCACCTACAAGGTCTGCAGGCAAAGCAGTTCCACTGGCTAATTGTCCTCCCTTTTACGAAGTTTCTCCTTCATTCCAGGTTGCTTCTCTCCTTCATAAGTTTCTATCCGTCGTTTCTTGTCCTGCCTTCTGGTGCTTTGGAGAATAAGTTGACCCTCCCTCTTCTTTGTGGCAGCCCCTCAAATACTAGAATGCTGCTATCCTGTCCCCCCCAGTCCTTCTTTCCTCTAGACTGGCCAGACCCAAATCCTGCAGCCCTTCTTCCTATGTTTTAGTCTCCTGGCCTTTAATTCTCTTGGTTGCTCTTCTCTGAACTTTTTTCACAGTCTCGACATCTTTTTTGCAACGTGGTTACTAAAACTGGATGCAGAATCCCAGGTATGGCCGTCCTGAGGCTTTATAAAATGGTACGAACACTTCACCTGGTTTTGATTCTATGCCTCTGTTTATACAACCAAGGATGGATTGTATATCTGTGATCTTACTGTGATTGTGTCTTATTTCCCCAGGCATATTGTGTTTTGTATTCCAATTGCCCTTTATTTTTACCATTATTTGCACCTCTTAGAAATGATACAAGGTTCACAACTTGTTGGATTTAGCACTGTGCTGCTGTTCCTGCTGAGAGAAGAGTCATCACGGCTCTCTCTCTCTCTCTCTCTTTCTCTCCCTCCCTCCTTCCCTCTCTCTCTCTCTCTCTCTCTCGTCTAAAACCCAATAGTTTTTAAGGCCAAATTCAATCAATGCTCAATGTTTTTCCGCTTCTTGGATGAAGGTCTTACTCTGATAATGAGGATGATGACCATAGGTCATCAAATTGTCCCAAGAGGCAATTGTGGACTTTGTTTTTCCTTGAAAACATTTCACTTCTCATCCAAGAAACTTCTTCAACTCTGACTCGGTCTTCAGAAGTAGAAGCTTCTTGGATGAGAAGCAAAACATCTTCAAAGAAAAACCAAGAAAGTCCAGCTGCCTCTTGAAAAAGAATCTTTGGAACAACCATGACTTGGAGGACTGAGAATCCACCACAGACCATCAGGTTGTTGCTGACTCTTAGTGTCTTAGATGTCCTCCAGAATAAGTTGCCTTAACCTGGTCGCTTCATGAGGACCTCTCTAACATTCAATCAGCATCTTCTTGGTCAAAAAAAATGAGCTTCATAAGTTCTCATCACCTTTCTTGGTTCTCCGACCTCCACATTAATTTTTTTCAAGGGTAACCTTATGGTTGGACCATCCACCTGAAGATATTTTCATCACCACCGTCATCTACTGCTTCCTTTCTGCGGCACTCGGCTTCTCCCTGACTTCTACCCAGGTTGTTGTAGTTTCAACGTCCTTTTTCATAATTTGCCTTTCTTCCCTGGGAAACGTTTCCAGGATGCTTTGCAAACTTCTGCTGTTTGTCATACATTGCAATGTCCCTTCCCGCCCCCTCCCCGGGACCATTGAGGGAGTGGGGGAGTTTCTGGCTTCCCAACACCCCCTTTGTCCTGCCCTTATTGCTTTTTTATTCTCCAATCTCCACTCAAGCGGAGAATAGGGATGACCGAATGGGCCTGGTATGCGTGGAGCAATTAGAGTGTGAAACCCAAGAGGCTGTTTTCCAGCAGGGCAACCTCTCCGTTCCACTCCAGCAAGCTTGTTTCTCTCTACGAGTGCTCCAACAGACCGGGGCACAAGGTCCTTCCTGGACTCTTCCTTGTAGATGCCACTTGTGACGCTGGCAAGAAAAGCTGTCCACGGGAGACGCGACTCCCTTGGGAATCAACATCTGGAACAGGCAGGAAGGTGCAGCTGGCACAGTCAGGCAGCTGGCTCCATCTGTTGATCACCTGAGGAAAGAGATGGGCCTCCTTGGATGTTCTAGAAAGGAGATGGCTGGCGCAAAAGGCCATCTATCTTCTTTCCATCCATCCATCCATCCAGTTGGCTCTTTCTGTTGATCATCTGAGGAAAGAGATGGGCCTCCTTGGATGTTCTAGAAAGGAGATGGCTGGCGCAAAAGGCCATCTATCTTCTTTCCATCCATCCATCCCTCCCTCCCTCCCTCTCCTCACACATCTCTAAAATGTTTTGGGCTTTAGTTCAGTGGAAAGAAAAGAGAAGAGGGATTTGTAGATTATGTTCCAAAACCGATCCATGTTTTCAGGTTCAAAAGAGATCTGGGTTTAAATCTGCAAGCAAAAAATGCTAAAACACACGTTCCTCTTAAATCTCCAGTTGATGAATTTTACCAGCTCTGTTATTTCCCTTTTATTTTGAACATTGCTGGAAAGGAAGGTTCACTGTTCTTCTCCTCTTCCCCTGGTCACACCTGAGCTTCAGCCTTCAGGTGTCACAATTAGATCACTTCTAACATATACATTTGAAGTTTCGTTAAAAATAAATGCATTTTAGACTTCTAAGATCCTCCGAAGAGCACTCTCATTCGATGTAAAATGCAGAAAAAGCAATTCCTGCCAACCTGACTTCAATGGACGACCTGTCTACTGCACGAGTCAAAAAGAGGGCTGTGAAAATATCTAGAGACTCCTCACATCCCGGACATAAACTGTTCCAACTCCTTCCCTCAAAAAGACGCTATAGAGCCCTGCACACCAGAACGAGACACAAGGACAGTTTCCCCCCCCCCCATGTCATCGCTCTGCTAAACAACTCATTCCCACAACACTGTCAAACTATTTACAAAGTCTGCATTACTATTAATATTATTATTAATCTTCCCATCCTTCCTTTCACCCATCCCCCTCCCACTTATGACTGTATGTTGCTTGTATCCTTATGATTTTTATTGACTGTTTCCTAGTATGATTTGATTGCTTATTGTACCCTATGTCTATATTCTATTTACTATATACCCTATGACTATATAACCCTATGACTATCGTTAAGACATAAGACATAAGACATAAGAATTTATTTGTCATTACACTCGCAAGCAGGTGCATCGAAATGAGGTGCTCTTCCACAAGTAAAACTGGACAACACCATTGAAAGAAAAATAAAATTAAACACAACAGACCATACAATAGTCTCTATACAATTTAAAAATGTAAATACCCCATTACTCTCAGCCATTAAATTCCACAAAAATCTTATGACCCTGCATTCAAACTCAAAACTGCACTTGGATAAAAACTGTTCTTAAATCTAGTCGTCCTTGTTCTTAATACCCTGAATCTCCTTCTCGATGGTAATAGTTCAAAGAGCTGGTGTCCCGGATGAGAGGAGTCATTCAATATATTAAATATCTTCCTCTTACATCTATTCCTATACCGTTCTTCCAAAGAGGGGAGTGAGCAGCCAATGATGTTTTGGGCCATCTTAATCACCCTCTGAATTGCCTTTTTCTCTGCCACTGTGCAGCTCGAGAACCATACACAGAGACAGTAGGATAATATACTCTCAATTGAACACTCAATTAAGTGTTGTACCTGATGATTCTTGACTCTTGACGAAAGTATCTTTTCTTTTATGGACACTGAGAGCATTTGCACCAAAGACAAATTCCTTGTGCAAACACTTGGCCAATAAAGAATTCTATGTAAGCCCCAGCTGCAATTCAGAGGTTCTGACCTTCCACCCCAAACCCTGAGTAATTGGCACCTTAAGATGTCATTGTAACATTAACCACACATCCTTCCATACCTGTTTCCTTACATCCCTTTAGACAGCCTGCAGATAAGCTGACCTCGTATCTGCACTTAAAATTCCAGGAGATCACACAAGCACAGGGGTTATCAGCCTTCTTCCTATTTTTACATCTTCCTTTCGAGCTGGAGCAAAATGCAGAAAAAGTGGAGCCTCCTGAAGATCAGAGTAAGGATTGGAGACCAACAGAAGAATCCATCACTTCTGGTTTTGGAAGTTCCATTCGTGGGTGCTCAGGATTTAATTCTCTGCGACGATGTTCCCTTTTGAGGGCCAGGAGCGGTTAAGGTCTTCAGGAATTCTGATTGTTAGTACCAAATCCCCAGCATTGTAATTCTTTTGGAGAAAGCAGCTGAGAAGATCCCACCCCCCAAAAAATACGAGTTGTAAACCTCACATTTAGCTCAAACTTAGCTTCATTATGATAACCCAGGTCTACTCAGACGAGTTGCTAAAAACAGTAGAAGGCTTTGTACCTTCTTAGATCTTTTAACAATCAGAATAGAGCTGGAAGGGACCTTGGAGGTCTTCTAGTCCA